ATACACATATATATACATATACACATATATATACATATACACATATATATACATATACACATATACACATACATATATATACATACATACATATATACACATATATACATACATACATACATATATACACATATATACATATACATATACAGTGGGTACGGAAAGTATTCAGACCCCTTTAAATTTTTAACTCTTTGCTTCATTGCAGCCATTTGCTAAAATCCAAAAAGTTCATTTTATTTCTCATTAATGTACACTCGGCACCCCATCTTGACAGAAAAAAACAGAAATGTAGAAATTTTTGCAAATTTATTAAATGAATACTGAATACTTGTCTGAATACTTTCCGTACCCACTGTATATACACACACACATATATAGACATACACACACACACACATATATGTAGATAGTTACAGTGGCGGGCCGTGCATTTTATACCTGGGCCTTCACTGCTGTCCTGCAGCTGAAATACCACCTTATAACCACATTATGGCGCCACAGCTATTATTAATTTTTAATGCTGTAACTATGTACGTCGTCGTATTAAATCGTTCGGTACGAGTCGTTTGAATAATGCTAGAGCATTTAGAAAACGCAAAAGCCTAAATTCAGGAAAATATAATGTTCTCAGCTGGTCTGGCTGTGGGATCCACCGTCATTCCTTAATGACAAGCCGCGACCCAAAGAGATTATTATAGGATTTTACTTTCACAAATTGAACATTGAACGTACTGCTCTGCAGTGTCTTTCCTCGTCTCAGCACCCTCTCTCATGGTGCATCTCACTCAGTCAGAATGCATTTTGATTGGCTGAGCTGCATCACGTGATGTGATTCACTACCCATCAGCCTCTGCTGGCTGTTAAGTTTTATTTCACGATAGTCACGTGCTCGTCCACTGACCAATCACAGCACACTCTGCACCTCGCGGGAAAGCTACACATGGACACTGAGCGGCATGTAATGCTGACGTCATTATAGGCCGGCGCGCAGGCTCTGATAGTCAAAGAATATGCCCAACATGTCAAACTAAAGATCTGATTGGTTGAACACTATGACAATCAACAATATCGTCCCCATTCACTTTAATCTGCACTGGCTGCAGGTGAGACTCTGCAGGCCTCTGCCTCTCTTCTTACCTAGAGACACAGAGGTGAAATCTGATTGGATAAAAGCTCTACTTAAAACAAGCTGCACTGGAAGCAGAGCAACTGAGGAAGACAGTAGCTGTGCAATGAGAAAATAAGATAATGGGAAAAATATTTTTATAAATTATAATACATGTAGTGTATTTAAGAAAAAATATTAAATTATAAAATAGATATAGCTTTGTGATTCTGTTTAGGCCAGCAGAGAAGGCCTTGCAGGCCCTGACGGCCCACCACTGGATAGTTATATATATAGTTATATATAGTATACAAATAAACAAAAACTAAACTGGAGCAGGAAAGTGCTGCCGGTAGACGAGGTACAATATAAAGTTTCATTACTGCAGTCATGTACCTCTTTTTTAAGAGTAATTGTCTTTTAAATTCAAGTTGTAAGAAATGTAATAAGTAGCTTTTCTTCAGACCAAAATTACAGTTTCTAATCATTTGAATAAATTCGGGCCCAGGACTGTAATTGCAGCCACATGTAACAGAGCGATGATTAAAGTGCTGAACTCACGCGTCGTTACACTGATCGTTGGCAGCCTCCTCGGCCACCAGGATGTCGTACTCCTCTGCAGCATATTTCTCCCAGTCCGTCACCTCCTGTCCGTCCGTCTCCATCTCCTTCAAAACAGGACGAGTAAGGTGATCCCCTCTGACGGGACAAACAAGTCACGGTGCTCTCTCACCTCTGGTGATGTCCTACAAGACTCAAACCTTACCCGTATGATAGAGAACGGGTCCTTCTGCTCGTGGTCGAGGTACTTCTCGATGTTAAAGAAGGTGTCGAAGAAGATGTGGGACAGCTTGCACCTTTTGAGGTCCCGCAGGGTGATCTTACCTGGACAGGATGAGACGGGGACGGGTATTATTAAACTGTTCAGGAGGTCTCACAGCCAGCCAATCAGAAATGTCAGGCTGTCTACCCTCCCTCATCTTGTAGTGTGACAGTGGTTATGGATGTGATATTGTGTCTATTAATCAAACTACAAAACAGCTGGGCCACAAATTTGTCAAAATAGGGCTGCAACAAATTTTTGCTTTTATTATTTATTAATCTGTCAATCATTTGTATCAATTAACTGACTCATCTAGTCTCTAAAATCGAACAAGTTAGCGGAGTGCACTGTCAAGTTCTCAAATAATTTTGGTAGAAAAAAAACAAAGATATTCTATTTATAAAGATGTGAAAAGAGATCGCAGCACAATCTGAGCAGCACATTCTCAGATTGGAATTCTTACCGGATCAATGAAATAAAATGCTTATCCAAATAAATCAGTGTCCTCTAACTGTTTTGAAACTGTGAGTCAAATGAGGATAAACTGAGCTGATTTTAAACAGCCTAACCATCTCATGGAGCTGCTCATAAAGCTCGGGGCTACTGACAGCAGAAGCCCGATCACCTTCACTTTTAAGCCTTTAAATCTGGAACTTCCAGAGCGGGAGCCCGGCCTAATGTCTGGAGGCGGCCGCTGAAGTTAAAGATGTCCGATTTGCCTCATGATAAGACATGAATGTGCTTTCAAAGTGATGAACAAATTCTTAAAATCAACTGTAAACCCAACAGATAGACGTGTTACGTGGGGCCTGAAATTAAGTGATTTTTTAAATCTTCGTAGCCCTCACAAGTCCTGGTTTCTGCTTTTGAAAGAGGAGAGAAGAGACTTTCGATTGATGAGAGAATTAAGTTCAGCATTCCACGACCGCGGAGTTTAAGACATTCTCTGGTCTGTTTGTGAAAACTCTGCCAGACTCATCTGATCTGCATATTATGTTGTCATCTAATGCAACGTCTCCATCTGCAGCTAGTGATGAAGCTCATGTGCCTGTACCGCAGTCCAGAGATCATTTAATGAGACATTTTAACACACTAATAAATCTCTTAAATGTGTTGTGCTGGGGGGGAATCAGCCTGAAATAAGAAGTTGTTGCATCTCATATTACACAGCTCCACTAGTAGAGCATAGCAGCAGGTCAACTGAGGGTCACATTCAGCTGTGGCTGTCAATACTGAACATGCATGGCGTCGCCGTGGACCAGTGTCTCCTAAAAGGCACGGGGATAAAGCTAAGTGCTGGAGGGAATTTGTTGACAGTGTGGATGACACCAGCAGCTGGCATCAGTCAGTCCGTCTCTCATCTGTACGTTTTCTGTCCGACACCGTTTAAATAAATGGAACCCGTTAGGACTTTCTGGTGTGTGTGAGAATGTAAAACGGGTCTGACCTTCGACCTCGGGCTTGACAAGGTCGAGCATTTGGCAGAGGCAGTCCTCGAAGGGAAGGGGCTCGATGGCCATGGTCTCCAGCCTTTGGCACTGGTCCTCGTAGAAGTACTCCAGCTCGTACATGCTGAGCACGCCGTCCCCGTCAAGGTCCATGCAGCGGAACCAGTACTCGATACTGGACACAGGGAGAGGTGCGTGTGAGTGAAGACACAGGCTTTGGAGAAACAGAAGATGCGATCAGTGTGGCTCGCGAGTCCACGAACCTGGTGTCGGTCTTCTTGTCCTCCTCAGAAATGAGGAACCAGACGAAGTCGGCGTAACTGAGCCGTCCCTCCTTGTGCACCTTCCTGTCTCTGGTGGAATAAACCCACACGGTCACTACTTAAACATAAAAGAATCGCTCGGGCCTCCTTTAAACTCTTTTACATTCTTCACTTACCTCGTTACAGTTCCTGAGAATAGTCTCTCAATCATCTTCTGGGAGATGGCTGGAAAAACACAGCAGAGAGATAACTTACAATCCAGACTTTTGGGGATACAATTCTCTCATACAACAGCGATCTCGGTTAACGTGCAATATTATTCACAACACATGCAATCCATTCTCACAGACTGTAAATCCAGACTGGCGAGAGTAAGCTCTTTTTTTTTTTTATCTGGACAATAAATCTTCCGGTCATCATTCTGACTGTGCAGTGGTGGAAATCGTTCCAGACGTGGCGTCATTGGAGCGGAGTAGAAATGCTGCTCTCTTATTGATCTCGTGTCTCATTTCCCCTCTCTCACTCACACACCATCAACCAAGAATATGTGGCGTGGAGTGTGTGGGGAGGAAGCGCAGGTCTTATGAACGAGTTTGTGTGAGAGTAGTAAAAGAAAAAAAAGAAAAGCGGGCCAAATAACGTTTACAAATGCTTTTTATGTCGGCATTTGTCCTTTGTTGTTTGAACTGTGAGTGTATGATTATAAGATGTACACTTTATCCGAATACAACAAATCCTGCGGATTCTAGTCCGGCGTGTTTTTGTTTTTCGGTGAAAAGTGAGGCGTGCTCGTGCACACCTTGGTCATTGTGCTGTGCCAGGTCCTTCTGGTCTATGTAGAGGTCGTGGTCAGTGTCCAGCTCCCAGAACTTGCAGTAAATAACGTAGAAATGTTCGTAGGAGAAGAAGTCGGTCAGCTGGTTCACATCTTCTTCCTGCTCCAGCAGTGCCAAATTCTGGGAGAGAAAAAAAAGAAGTTACAGCCATGAGAAGTTTTTTGTATTATTTATGATCAATATACTCTAAATATTAGCCAAATTGCCCATGATAGTTTACGGGCCGGCTTCCTTGTTCATTTTGAGCTGCTGTACTTGGTGTAGTTGTACTTTAAGCAGCTTTATAGTGTAATGAGGAGTTTAGATAATCTGATTCAACCGTCGACATGTCCACAACCTGTCTCATTATCGGACCGTTTGTTAGACTTCATTCTAGTGAAGTTGCCATGTTCCCATGTTCAACAATTACTTTGGTGAGAACAATGTTTTCATTACAGAAGCAAATTATGACCCATGTACAAAAATAACTGAATTCTCCTTTAATAAGCCGTACATTATTAACACAGCTTTGCTTATTAAAAAAAAAAAAAAAAAAAAAAAAAAAAAAAAAAAAAAAAAAAAAAAAGAAGAAGTCAAGTGCAAGTATTATTATATTAGGATTTCTTTTAAAAACTGTGAATGTGCAATTGAAGATAAATGCTTATATGAAAGAGCTCACACATATTTTAAGACAATAAAATGATTCTTAAGCCTGGTTTATCTATTCCTAGATGTTTAAAGGACCAAAAGACACCCTTAGTAAAACAAAATACATCTTAGTATCAGAGAAAGTAAGAGTTTTGTAATTGTAGTCATATACCTGAAGAAAATTACTTTTCCTAAGCTCCGAACACGTTATTTTTCCAGTCCATGAACGGTTCGCATTGTAGAATATCCTCTGAATCACCTGCAAAAACAGTTGACAGTGTCATCATGTATAACTCAATAATGCATCAGTTAAAACCTAATTAAAGCATTTTGCAGCATTAATGTGCAGGTATCTGGGTTATGGGAGCATACCGTGGTGATGTACCGTGAGTGAAAGTCCGGGGCCTCCTTTAGGAAGGCCAGGCCTGCGTGCGAGTTCACCACATCCTGGATAGATAAAGTAGAGTCAGCTCTCTTTGTCTCTGCTGCAATGTCGGCCTCATTTCCACAACAAACCCCTCACAACTAGCAAACGCAAATGCAAGAGGACAACTCGGTGACATGCTGTGCCTACGACAATAACAAATACATAAGTTCAGACAAATTCTGCCGTTACTTTTTAGAGACAAGTCAAATGTTAACACACATGTGGCATTTCTCTTTTTGGTCGACAGAACACATGACAATCAGAGCAGGCGCTTAAACGCATGCTTATTCAGACATCCAGGGATGTCAGTGTCTATCTGCATCACTCTGTCGCACCATATGCTTTATAAATTGTGCTAAAGAAAAGGCTCCGGGCTTCGTTGGCGGAGGCCATCACATTTGAATGTTTCTTTTGAAGGCACAGAGCAATTGATGGACCGGTTTTGGGATCAGCTTAAAGTCTTTTCTGATTTGACAGCGAAGCGGTGGGACGGCCAGTGAGAAGACGTTCGCTGGTGACTGCTCTTAACCTTCTCTCCTTCCTCCTGCCACAAAGCCACAGGGGGTGGGCTGCATTTCCAATCAACTGTAGCTACACTCTTGCCATGACCCCCCCTTGTGTCTTTTTGCTTTATTCTATCCCCTTCCCTTTCTGCCGGGAGGGGGAGGGGGGAGATTGTTGACATAAATGCGAAGGCGGTAATGAAATTAAAAGGCCTTATTTCGGGGCAGCCGTCGTGCCTCCTTGACTCTTAGTGTGAGAAATTAAATCATAGAGAAACACATAAATCACAGGGCACAGGAAAAAGGCGGGGACAGTCAAATCTACTCCACTGCAATCCGCCTTTCATTCATCAAAACAGTCAAAGGCCATTTGCTGAGCAAGGACCATACAAATTAAACGGCGGGTGCCACAAGGCATCTCTGCCGGTATGCTAACGGCTGCTCGGTGGCAGCATGAAAATGAGTCAGGTGGAGGGCGGGGCCCGTGTGGAGCACCAACAGCTTGTCAGAGGGAATGAGAACACAAACAGCCAGCACAGCAGGTCCACATGGCCAGACTGACCAAACAGTCAATAAGGCGACTTATGAAACCGTTTGATAAAAACTGAATCCATGATTTCCAGGATTCTTTTGGTGCTACAATGTGTGCATCACATTTCCATCTCCATCCCTCCCTTGGTTCATTTCTGTTACTCCCCTCCACTATGTTACCGGCTTACAGTAACGTCCCTGATTTAGTCCTCGGCCACATGAAAAAGCACTGCTTCAAGCAGGGCAGCCCTAAAATTAAGCCCAGTTTGCACTACCCAAGCCAACGCAATGTTGCCATGCACCGCGTTTGCCAAGTCAGGCCCTCTCCCTGGGTGAGCTGCAGCCAGTACCTGCAGGAATGGAATAAGGTCGTCTTGTTCCAGGTAATTACAGCCAGGCTTGGCCAAGAGGTGCACGAATTTAGAAGCGTCGTCGTGACAGGTCTGCAGAGTTCTGGAGAAGAAAAGAGAGAACAGATGGTTGCAAGGTTACTCCCTCTTTTCACTCTGGTGTTCTCTCTATTCTTTTTTTTTTTTTTTTTTTTTAAATCATTCTTTCATGAGCACAAGTTTGAAATTGTTCCCCTCATAAAAGTGCAAGTGCAGGTATAATGCATTCGGAAATTAGGATTCTGAATCGTTGCCCGGTGATTAGGAGCGCCGAGCATTACGCTAGCGACGGGGAAATAATGCGAGCGTCTGTTGTGGCCTCTCATCTAAGAATGGCTCAGTCATGAGCTTGAGTCAAAGGCCAGGTCTATCCGGTTCTCTTGAGGCTGGAGCACTAATACAAGAGCATGCCTATTGTAGAACAGCATTCTGCACACAGCTAAGAGCTCAGCCGCCATTACAAAAAGCCCTGTGGCGATCCTTTCAAAGACACTCAATAGATGTCTTCATTGAAATGACTGTATGCCCGGCAACTTCTCCCTTGTGAGCATTTGTGATCAGTGACTTCTGTTCAGAAATGAAAAGGATAATGTGGCGATCGCAGAGAGCCGCATGCAGCGTCTGTAGTCTCAGCGAGTGGTCATCATTGTTCAAAGGGGACTGTACGAGTGTACCAGCGGCCCAGTGAGGATAAGAAGAGCCATTGTCTTACTTTCTCCACATAGCCACCAACTTGTGAACGGAGACGAAGCCGGTCCTGTCGCCTCCAGCCGAGCAGAACAATGGCATTTTCCAGTAGAGAGGACACTCACATGCCTGGGGAGACAAGAAAGCAGAAGAGTTGGGGAAGAGTGTGGTGTGGCTGTACAGAAGAGAGAAAAAAAGTGCACTGCCTGGATACACAAGATCTCTAATGCAGAAAAACACGACACAATGACACTGTTGGTTTTGACTGTTGCATCACTTAAAGACCCAGAGGACATCCAGCTGTCATTTCTCTCTTCACTCAGGTTCCCCTCAGGCCTCTGCTCACATTCCTCAGGGAGAGAATATTTTCCGAAGAGGTTCAAAATCATTTGCTGGGTGGTAGCTGTACCTCCGATGCTCCAGAATCACATTCTCACCTTGGCGACCTTCCCCATGTCCTCAATGGTGGCCCTTTCATTTGGGAATTGGGAAAATGTTTTCTCAATTTTGGAAATGAGGCTGTCGATGTTGACGTTGGCTTGGGGCCGGCCCTGTGGGAAGTAGAACTTTGGAATGCTTTCACTCAGCGCTGTGGCGACGGGCTCCTGCGTCCTCACCTGGGCCTGGGCCTGAGACAAACACACAGAAATGCACTGTTAGCCACCGACGCTAGTGAAGGCTAACGCCTCACAGCGCAAGCATTCCAGCGTGTGCCGAGGCTAGCCTTGACACACACTCTACATTGCTGGCACGACGAGCACACCTCTCAGCAGCCCTAGGCAGCTAGTAGTTATAGTTATTATCCATTTATCTGTAACCCTGTATTAGAATTTCCCCTTTAATAGATTGTCACTCCGTACCAGCTGTAAATTAAGATGTGTCAAGCGACATTAATGTGTGTAGAATGCTTTGACCTAGTTAATGTCATCCGTTTATCAAATTAGAGTCAGGAATTTAGAGGGCGCTGTAGAACAAGTTAATAACTAGATAATACTAGATAAGGCAGAGGACATCATTTATAAATAACATTTAAATATAGAAATCTACTTACAGATGTACTAGTCTAGTTGTATTTCAGAAACACAAGCATTACATAAATAGGTAATGGGGATGACTCATCTTGAGTATTAGTCATTCGTCATTACTGGAGAACTATTGTCTGTGGCATCACAATAATGTCTAATTAAGAAGTATACTTTAGACTTTAACTGCATAATGTGTGATCTAACTGGACACAAAAACGTATCTCTAAACAACATGAAAGTCAACCACACACTGTGAGTGACTCATGTTTACAGAGGCTGTTAACTATCTGTTTTTACCAGTTAGGTTTATAACAGACCAATGTTTCCAATTGTCAGTTGAGATCCGTGTCAACATATTGGGAAATGATAAGCTCAACAAATACTGACTGAATCTTTAATAAGCACAAGGTTTTCTTAATGACTGCATTTGTCAAATAAATCAATCAATTCCCAGGAGACATTTTGACGACATAGATAACATTACTGATGACTCAAGTATTCCAGTAAGCCACGACTGTGAGCCAACATACACGACGCCGTGGCCTCAGAACGGACACGCCTCAATCAAATACTGACGTTGTTATTGCAATGCGTTACCTTCTTTAATGGACAACCCCAAGAAAGGACTAGACGACTGATACTTCATGATGGATAACGTGTGTTCCCTTAAAATAAAGACTGAGAGACACATTTGGCTCGGCTTAAACTACGGATGCACTGATCCAGCTGTTTCAGTCCAGATACTGACACTAACACCTGGGCTTTGGATATCGACCCATCGACAGTACTGAGAGTTTAATTAATAAGCACGTATGCCTCACTGTGTGGAAGTGACAGGGATCATTCTTTTATGTGCAAGTCTGGACATTGTAAAACAAAATGTAATGAATAAATACATAAATATAAATGTATTGACATGTTATTATTAAAATAATAAATCAAACACCAGCAACTTGGTGTAAAAATCTAACAGTGACTATGAAAATCAAATGTAAACCCTTTTAATGCAGCAACAAATTGGTCAAATTTAAACAGGAATTAAAATCAGTCAGTATATAATGTATATAGTATTTACATAAAGAACTGAATCGAATAGATCGGCCAACTGTCATCGATACTCGATCCAGCATCAGCCTGACATGGATACTGGTGCATCACTAGTTGGAACAGAGTACCCGATTAAAGGCAAGTAGTAGACAGCAGTCGTCAATGGAGACAGAAGCTGGAGACAGAAGCTGGCTGGCAAGGATGCATGTGTGGGTGTTAGCTTAGAACTGGAGAGGTGCAGTGTGGGTTTAGGGCCTTTTAGCTGTGACTCGTTACAAGATATAATGCTGAGCTAAACCTTTTTTGAATCTTCAAAACCTTCCAATACACCACAGCACGGTGTTGCTGTGCGTGTCCTCTTAACTACTTCTGCCCAGGACCCAAAACAATAGCTTTGTGTGTGCTTTGCTTTTGGTGCCTCGACATGGAAACCAGTGTATCTTTTGAAGTCTGATAACAATGACATAATGCAACATTGGGCCCGTGTCTTTATGCAATGATACATCTTATTCCAAAGCAGTGTGATTTACTACACCATCTGAGCACAGCTGACACACTGTGAGGGGATGGTGTTCATTGATAAAACATCCCCATGGTGTCTGGCTGAGGACTTTGCTGGAGAGGACATGAGTCAGTGAAGCTGTACACTTAAAAAGCCAGAATGCATTAGGATACAAATGTGTTATGTTGCACATATTAGCCACTTACTAAAAACAGCTTGAGCAGAGCATGCTTCACTCACAGTCGTCATCCCATACCCAATGACCCTTTCCATGACTGATTTGCCAACTGGATCAGTATCCATGGCCTCATAAACACCCACACAGGCTAAGAGACAAAAAATACCATCTTGTTGTTTCTTGGTCCAACACATTCTACCAATTGTTCTCAAGTCTAGCTAGATGTGACAAAGCCTACATATAACCATTGTGAAACCCTTACAATTATAGTAGGATCTAGCCATATCCATTCCTACAGGATAAGTGTCTACAGTGAATGAAATTGTTTTGCTGTATTCTGTCAGTGATCTCCTCATTTCAACCTGAGGAATGGTGAATGCTGCTGCTCCTCTGCTCCTCTCTGTCCTGTGTGCTGGTGTCAGCCATGGCTATAAAAGGACATAAACATCTCCTGCTGCCCTGCCCCTGTCCCCTCTATCTCTCGCTTCATGCTAACCGCTAGCAGAGCTCTTGAGCACAACCGCTAAGCCCCGTGACATTTTGCACGTTCACGATGATGTGATGTGGAAAAGGACAGTAAAGCGGATGAGCACAACATTCCACACAAGATGAAGCACCCCCCTCCCCCCACCCCCTCCAACAACCGCGGCTCATGTTTCATATTTCTTGGCACAAATAGAAGAAAAACCTGACCCCAGACCACCCGCAAAAAGTGGATATGATTGCACAACAATTACATTGTTACATGGCACGGCAATGTGTTTAAGCTAATTGATGAAAGTCGCCTTGGGAAAGTGATTCAACTCATTTGTCCTCAATGTGCAGCTTGCTCCAACAACACCTATAGTTCCACTTTATAAAGACGGTAAGCGTGAGGAATAGGTAGCATTACTGTAACTCAAATAGGCCTGTAACATAGCAGATATCTACCAATGCAAGCTGAATACCAAGACACGAAGCCCATAAATACCAGTCCACATTACTGGGCCTGCCCACTGGCCTGTGGTAGAGGGTACACCCATACACTCAACACCTGCCTGTCCTTGCTGGAAGGCTCTGAGCCGCTTCTTGAACCGAGAGGGCAGAACAAAGTCACAGCCGCGTGCCAGCAGGGCCAACTCCTTCCTCAGGTCCGGGTCCTGACGCAGAGACAGCTCCCTCATCCTCATCCTTGCTCTGGACAGGACGGGGAAGACATGTATACACGGAACGCAACCGTCACTCCGGCGTTATCCTCTGGAGTGCGTGAATCACTTGGTGCCAGTGAGCACTGTGAGCGAAAGGCAGTGGCGGAAGTCTTCTGTGTCCCTGTGATTGTCCTCTGTCAGAGTGAGACCCTCTTAATGCAAGGGAGCAGCTGCTACTGTGACTCTGTCTCTCCCATTTCAGATCTGGTCGCACAATCTCAGCTCTCCCTGCTGCTGCTCTGTCCCGGTCCCTACACAACATGCACGTACACGTACACGTACACGTACACACACACACACACACACACACGCACACACACGCACGTACGCGCACGCACGCACGCGCACACACGCACGCGCACACACGCACACACACACACACACACACAGACACACAGACACACAGACACACACACACACACACACACACACACACACACACACACACACGGTCAGGGAGCCCTTGCCTCAAAGCCGGTGGGGAGATAAGAGGCGGCAGGGTGTTTGTGTGTGGGAGTCACTTAGTGTACGTGTGGGATGGGAGGGGTGTGTGCAATGGATCTGCCCTTTCCAGTTTGCATTCCTCCACGCTCATGGAAGGTTATGCAAAGAGACAGACCTGTTGTTGCAGCTTGCAGCAGCCTCGGAAGCCAAATGAGGGATGCGCCTCAATACCGCGATTACACGCTGCTCGTGTTCACCGGCTTCCTTTCTGAAAAGCTCCCACACGACCAAACGCATTGCTTGTGCTCTGAGGCCTGCAAATTGGACCCCCTTCCTCTGGGCGGTACAGAGGAACATTAGGCGCTAATGGGGAAAATTCTAAATAAAACCCCTGAAGTGATGGAATATGATTTCAGCCACATGCTCATTCTGTCTACATCTGTCACTAAATCTGCCTGAAAGTATGAATCACAAGAACAACAGGCACACAAAATAAACTTAATGAGGCACTGGCAAATAAAATAAACACAGAACCACGGTATGACTACTTTATAATAGATAACAAGATTGTAGGTCAAATACAAATATTCTATGCAACTAATCTGCATCTTATCTAATGGTGGTCTTTGTTGTGCCTTCCCCTTGCAAACCTGGGCTGCCGGCCATTCCACGTCTTATTATAGTTGATGGGCAATAGGGGGGGGGGGCGACATGTCAAATTCAAAGAATGATGACCAAACAAGTCTGCGCCTATTAAAAGCATCAGTAAGGACTGTTTGGGCAATCCAAGAAACTGGGCCTGGAAAACAAGTGTGTATCTTTAGTCCTCAAACAAACATCCGCTTCCGGTTGCTGCTGTCCTGGAGTGATGGCAATTACATCAATTCTCCACAAATACGCTGATCCAACAGCTCTGGGGTTGACTGTATGTACGGAGAGCCTCACACCTACCTGCTGATGTGAGTGTTGATTAAACAGAAATGGTTCAGAGATGTCCACATCAGCAGACTATGTAAATAATGTTTTTTGTTAATGCCATTGTTATTTCACACAGACAGTGAAAGAACGCCCACATTATTTTTAGATGACAGGATCACAAAGTCAACGGTTTTCCACTGGTTTCTGCTCAAGCCCAGTTCCTGTTATCGTCCACACAGGACGCTGCACGTGCTCGATAAGCTGTTTGTATGACGGCTTCTTCACACTGGCTGCCTTTTGTTCATGCTCATCAATTCAAACCAAACAT